GAACCGCCTGTCATGATTCAGAGTGAGAGGAACCTGCATGAGAAAAGGTGCTCACGTGAGCTGGGTCGAGGGCCAGGAGGCGTCGTTGAAGGCAGATTTGATCTCTTCGCTCGTGGCGGCGGGGGAGCAGTCCACGGTCGCTTCGTTCGAAGCGGAATCGTGGGAGCAGGTGCAGGGGGAAATGCTCTCGGGATCGGGACATCCTCTCTGCCCTGAGATCCCACAGATGAAGAGGGCAAGCCAGAGGAACACCGAAGAGCGAAACATCGTGGATCTGTGGAACTTTCGATGGCGGGGTGGTCATGTTCTGCGTTAGACTTCCGAAGTTCTTTTTTGCTCTCTTTCGACGAGAAAATGTGCACGTGACGATAAGGAATGGGAAATTATCATATTCATGGCAAAAGTTCGTGTGAACGCCCATGTGATGGCCAGCGTATTGCGGAGTTGACGAAGATAAGTATGACAATTTTACTTCTAGCCGGGGGAGTAAGAATAAGGAAGAGTAAGGAAAATATGATAGTTGGATTTACTCAAACTGGCAGGTCTTACTTTAAGAGCTTCCGCATCCTTATGGATTCAAAACGGTCAAGCAGTTCGGGTCTGAGAAAAGTGTATTTCTCAGCCTTCGTTCCGAAATCGACGAGGCACAGCTCACAATTGCTCGGCGGAGTTGCCCTTACTTCAATATACCCGTATTTCCGTATCGAGACAACCGGTCGTGGACGGTTGCAGACGCGAAGTCGCAGGCACCAAAGGTCGAAGTGTAGTTTCGTCGCAGACACTCGTAGTCGCGCGCTCTTCGTCAAGGGGGGCAGCATCATGGGGATGATGAATTGACGAATTGACGAATTGACGAATTCGTATGATGACTTCTCAGCTCAAGCAAGACACTAGCGGACTCCCAAGATGCAAGTTCTAAAATATGCCAGTTGTCAATCGCAGTTCATCGACTACTAACGAAGTGAGAAAATGAAATTGTGAGCTACTCTTTTGTGTATGCCACTCCTAATTTCTCTTCCACTTTTAAACCTCACGTTGTGATGTTTTTAGCTCATTGTCTCACAACGGTGAAATCATTCCACTTCATAGTGTATAATAATTTGCTATTCCAATAGATAATTTGATGTGCCTTTAACGTAAGAACTTAAACTCGAACATGAACAGTCCAACTGGAATATGTATGAAAAACGGCAAAAAAATGCTCTCTCTCTTTTGCCGGCTAATAGCCGTTAGGAACTCTAGTACCCCATTCCCTTCTAAGCATTTTTTTTTACCTTGCATTTACCCTTGTCCTGAATCGGGTACTTCGCCTGCGCTCGTCCGACGATCTGTACCTGCTACGAGAAGGTGCAATAACGTAAGGTGTTTGGGACGTTTCGTCCTCAACGACACGTCCAAAACCATTTAGACCGCAAAAAAGCGTCAGGCACGACTGCATCTCGACAAGAAAAAAAAATAAAACCTCCAAATTTGGCGATCGGAAATTTCGTTCTTCGCCAATAGGGTAAGTGCTGCGAATGTCGCCACTGGGGGTAATCTCCGCGCTTTGCAATCGTCAAAATACTGCTTCCAGTACTAGTCCCCTAGGCACGAGTAGATAAATATCCTCGGATGTTCCAAGCACATGTTCACAACTAATGTTGTGAACATGTGCTTGGAACATTCATATTTGCTCTTGTAGTTTTTTCGCAGTGGCCACTTTCTCTAAGCGCATTCCGAAAATCCTGGGAAATATTGTGATTTTCCTAAGCTTTTGCACATTCCGTTCTTCTCTTCCAAACAAGGTATTGTTTTATCTGGTCGTTGCATTCATTTTTGAGTCCGTTGTAAACGACAGTGGTACATAAGTGTGCCGAGATTACCGGCAGGGTGGTGCCGTCTATACCAGCAAGTGTGCCGAGATTGCCAACGTCTGACCCAACTTCGCCTTTGACCCAGGGCCTAGGAAATGAAAGGCCTGGGGCACTCGAAGTTTGCGGTTCAAGAAGGTTTATAATAAAGGTATCACCAGACCCAATATGAATTAGGAAGCTCCATTACGAAAACAAGCAAGCAAGGAAGAAGTGAAGTATTTGCTTTGAGTGCCGACATTCGCAGCACTCACCCTATTGGGGCTCTGGGGAAAATAAAGGTAACGAGGCTCCCTTTACAGCGGACGAGTTTTCCTTGTTAGAGGCGGCAGTTGTTTTCTGAAGAGAAAGTGCCATTACCCTGTCCCGATCCCCCGTCGCTGTCTCACGCGCCCAAAAAATCAAGGTTCGATATGGCACCTTGTTCTCGTTCCATTCATTGATGCAAGCGCATACATCCACGAGTAATGCACTCACATGCTTCCTCGGAGGCTTTTTATTACATCATTCTGTTCGTGTGGTTAGTGACAACACAGGCTGTTTATTATTTATTAGCGATTTTGCTTGCCCCTTGGGCAAATAAACTCGCTATGGTAGCGCCTTCGGTGGCACAAACGTATAAAAAGTATGTGCCTCTCGAAATGTGTGTAGAGAGAGAACGAATCGATATTTTTTAAAATCGAAATGATTACTCCGATTAATTCTTGTGCGCCGAACTTCAAATCTCATAATCTGCCATGAGGAGTCATATTTGAAAAGTAGGATCTGCACTCAACAATCGAACAGGTACTTCTGAGCCAATTTTCAAAAGCCAATTTTCAGGTTTCTTTAATTCCCTCTTTCATTGGATCAGAAAAGATTCCGGAAATGCGCCTTTTGCAAGAAATGTGTCCTTAGGGGTTTTGCCTAAAAATTAATCTTTTTTTTGTTTTTTACTGAAATCAGTACTCGGTGAACCAGATACATGCCATGTTTCAGCCTTATCCGTTTGCTCTTTTTGCTGATGCAAAAATATATTTGGAAAAGCCGATGCAGCCAAAAGTTGTGCCGTGAGGGTATGCACCTCAAAACTTGAATTTGTTCTGAACTCATGAGTGTCAGTAGCTATGTCTATGCCAAGTTTCAGTTCTGCATGTTCATCCGTTTGACTAAAGCAAAAAAATTATTTGAAAACATCTTGAAATTTGTGCCCCCAGGGCATTTACCTCCAAAGTCTGAAATTTTTTTTAACTCAGCATCCCTATAGATACTTATGTACCAAGTTTCACCTTTCTATCTCTGGCCAATTCGCTAGGATAAAAAAATTATTTGAAAACGTCACCCCCCAAAAGTATGCCCCCAGCGCATGTATCTGAAAGTTCACATTTTCCCTTAAATTTGTGTCTCAGTAGACACGTCCATGCTAAGTTTCATCTTCCCATGTCTCACTGTTTGACTGAAGCAAATATATATCATTGAAAACATCTCCCCCCAAAATGGGTGCCCCAGGGTATGTACCTACAAAGTCGAATATTTTCTGAACTCTGCATCCCAAAAGGTACATGTGTAGAATTAGCGTCAGTCAGTCACGATTGTCTATATATCAATTAAGTAATGTGAAAACCAATTTTCAATCGCTTTCCCTTTCTTCAACCTCCCCCCCTCCCCCTCCAGCCTCTCTATGGGACTCACTAATGTAAGGCTTAGGCCGAACCAACAGACTGCCTTCAGATCACGTCAAGGCCTACCTTTTCCTTTTCAAAAGAAACTCAATTCTCGACTTACGGCGCCAATTAGGCCTATAAGGGTGAATCGTGGTCTTCGAGACATCTGGTTAAGGACGTGTAACGTTAGGCCAATCGCAGGCCTATTCATACGTTCATGAACCATTTCAGTGCGGACTTTGAACGTTAGGCCCATCATGAGTTCCTCGAACCATCTCGAATAGGTCTGAGGAGAGAATGCCCTCAAGCAGCATGGAATCCATGGTACGCGCCATCCTGTTAATTCAGGGATGTCCGAATAAGATATCAGCATATCCCACCACATCGATCAATAACAGCTAACCACCGCTTCATTCTCAACTCATCTCATGAAATCAGCATAAACATGTCTCATGCATTAAAAAATAGAAGATCCAGACGCCAATACGAAGGTTGAAACAGTCTTGAATCAGGCATAATTTCGGCACGGTATCCGGCAACACTGGGGGACGGTGCCGGAGCAAGCTCTCTAAGCCTAATTGAACGACAGCTAATTTCATTTTTTATGGCGAAATGGAGCATCGCAAACAGCAAAAAAGCCACTTTTCGTCATCTACGAGTTAATATCTTTCTTATGGTTGGTCTCTTTCTTCCGAAAACCTCCCAGGAGTGCCTAGCCAGGGGGGGGAGAAAAAAAAAAACGGAATGAATTTGGCATCTTCAAAAAGGGAGATGCAGTTTTCTTCACAACCCGGGGGAGATAGAACTTCAAATTTGCTGGAGCGATTCTGTGTTGAGATGGGAAGAAGTCTGCCCAATTTCGTGCCTGTAGATCCTCTCAGAGAGGAATACGAGGAGGTTGGATTTTGTGACGGGAAGGGGTTGAAGAAAGGGAATAGGCGCTACCGCGCCTATTGATATATTAGACAGCAATTAGACATTAGACATTAGAGGGCAACCAAACTCTCTATGGACGTGCCTTCGGCGCTCTGCGATCTAAGGCATCCGTTTTCGATTATCACCCCTACTAATGCAGTCAAAATCCTTTGCTCTTGGGTTCATTTCTCGCACCTTAAAATAAAGGTGTCTTAGAACATATTCTTAGTGACGTCATGTCACTTGTAGCATGAGGATCACCAAGTAACAATTCTAAGTGTGTCATTTAGTGCTTCATTGGTGTATTCAATTCCTGCCTATGGTCGACACACTCTTGATTGCATATCAATCTCCAAAAAAGTAGGAGCAATAGCAGCCATATGAACCACATAAACCACTTGAGAGTTTTAATGCAATAACTTTTAAAGAATATGAACGTCTCATATGTGATCCATATTCTAGACTTCAGAAATGCAATTAAAAGCTACTAATGTTTTCTCCTAAGCCTCAGTATTACCTCTTTAGTACTCTTTCAAAAGAAAAAAAATGCTTAAAGGCATCTGGCAACCCTGTGAATGCCGAGTCTTTTTGATGGCGACGCGCTGAATGGCGAGTCACGCTGCCTGCTCTGAACACTTGCAATACGCCTAGCACAGCCCTTGGTACACAAGTCATAAGCTGCTGGTCCAATTATTTGGGCAGAAGTTCACTACACGATGTCGTCTTGGAAGAAGACAGCTGCATCTGCTCAACGGATTCACCGAGAACGACATCAGGTTGGACTGCTATATCTCTTGCAGGAGTGGTTGGGTAGGCAAAACTTCCTTTGATAAACACGTTGTTTTATTCATATGGTCGTCATAATCCAAGAATGATGTCTGACTAATGTATGTGTCAGTAAAAATACGGGGAAAATATGGATACATAGGCCTTTAACTTTATTCCTCTCTCTCTCTATCTTTTCATGTTGCTCCAGTTAACCAGACCGCATATCTGTGATGTCATCCCTTAATAAGTACAGTTTCTCTGATATTCTAGGAAGTTATAATGCTCTCACTGGAAATAATTGCAAAGAGAGGAAAAGTGAACTGCCAAGACGAATGTCTTACCCTCCTTGTGGCAGCTCATGGTTCGATGGGGAAATTGGTCTGGGCAAACATTTTTCAAGGGTTCATACCAATGTCCATAATTAGCATTTAGTTTCAAGTTTAGCTCATCTGAAGAGAAGTTTGTGGAATTGTTATGAATCACTAGTGGTGAATTCAATGTACTTCATATAGAAGTAGAAGCTTATTTTTTTTCTTTCACTACTTTCAGCCAGAAGCAAGAAAGCATCTGGGAATTCTTGAGAAGAAGAAAGACTACACTCTTCGTGCAAGGTTAGTTTTAACTATTTTTGTTAGCTTGAGGGAGTTAGAAGTTGAGGCTTTCTTTCATTTTATGTGAGTCTCAGGTTCATAGAACAATTTTTTTAACTTGTGGCATGGCACGGAAGACCTAAGTCATTTAGGCAACCTACTCAGGAAATGTATGTATAAGGTGACCAGATGTCCCAATTTAGGTGGGACTGTCCCACTTTCAGACCACATGTCCCAGTGTCCCCTGATGAAGTAGGCAGGATGCTGATGTCCACATCAGGTGGTGAGGCCAGCCCCCCTGCTATCATTTACTTTAATATTGCTTTGTGTGGCAGTTATCTGCTGATGAATGGTGGAAGTGTCTTCCTACAAGTGAGTCAATATAAGGGCCTCATCCAGGTAATGGACTGCCATTCTTTGGTAATTTGGAACTATGAAAATTCCACTTCTGATGCTGCACAAACATCCTTATACTTATATAGGTAGGCATCATGTATCACCTTCCTAATCTTAGATGAGATAATCCAGAAAGGTGATGATACAGGGAAGTGATAGGGGTGAGGGGAAGGTCACCCTATACACAAACTGGTAAACTCCTTCTGTTTTAGGGAACAGTTTTCTCCTGGGTCAGAGACAGATTTTCCTTAGTTACAGTTGCAGGAGTTCAATGGTGAATAACTAAGTTAGGTCTCTTGTTAGTGGGGGATTGCTGGTGACAAGTGAAACCTGTGCATCCTGACAAAGGATAGAAGTTCAGGTATGCCAAAGTTTTTTGAAGTTCAGAGATATCTGAGCTATACCAATGTGTCTGATTGGAAGGAAAAAGGCAATTGTAGGCTCTTCTGTGCATGGGCAAGAAGGTCTGCTGGTTGTTCACCTTTCTTGTCATTACGTCAGGCAGCATGTTCTGCATTGAGCATGGGAGTGGAGGTTCAGTCCTCATTGAAAATTAATGATCACATAAAAAAGTTGAGATTCATATGCATTGTTCCCAGAAATAACCAGTCTGCACCAAGATGATGGAATACCCCCCCGAAATGGTACCTCATTGCCATGTCCCATTAGAACACACTAAGCTCCCATGAAGCTGGCATCATGTTGGCAATGGATATTCCAGACCGTGGCTTGGCCTGTTGGCATGGTTACTGAGCCCCATAGTGGCATTATAGCTTGTCAGTCATCATTTGTATGAGTGGACATTGAATTTTCACAATTTTAGTGTGTCATGGTGAAAAGTAGCCACTTGTCATTTCTCTAGTGTTATAATGGAGGGCCTAACCATTTTGGGAGAACAATATGCAAGGTCGTACTTTTTCTTGCCTTTTAGTGCAAAAGTTGTCAAAAGTTTTGGAGTGATATGCCACATTGGAAGTAAAAGGAATGGGTACAGACTATATAACCTGAAAAAATTTTTTTTAAAGATTCTCTTAAGAAATCCAATTAGAGGAAATTTAGAGTACAATACAATATGTTTTATTTATTAAAATGTAAAATATGCAATCTGCAACTGGTCCACATACCCTACATTGGGCACTCCTGACTTAGTACCTTTGACTAGTACCCTCTCATCAAAGTTTTCAATAGTTTTTTAAATAATGAAAATGACTAAGCTCTTTTCTGAAATTTCATTGAATGAGCCACCAGGATAAGGTAGAATTTTATATAATTCTTGACAAGGGAAAGGGTTAAAGAAGAATCTTCCTGTGGACATTTTTTCTGTATGCTGTATCACAATTGAATAAGATTAAGATGCACTTTGTGCATCTTAATCCTATTCCTATGGTTCATCCTTGTTTTTATGCCTTATTTTTCTTCTTTTATTCCATATCTTTCTAAAACTTTTTAAATTCAATGCTAGTTTTGTACCATTTCATGCAGTACTCAGGAGCAGCATGTTTTCTCTGGCAAATTCAAGGAAATATTAAACATATCTCTCTCACCTGCTCATACATGCAGATTCTCTCTCTCTTGCATCATTCCTAACAGCATGAATGGGAGGGCCTGCAATAAAATCTGTCCAGGACTGGAAATATATGTACTGGCACTAGGTTTTTCTAAATGCACAATTTATGCTTAAATATTGTCTCTCGTGTCCCAGTGCCCACCCAAACAATGAGAAATGCAGAACATGCTAAGTTAAGAGCTGTGAAATTGAAAATTGGAAAAGAAAAAAGCTGATAAAGTCTTATTTTTTTTTAACTTGAGGCAAACATTTTTTTTTATAGAGAAAGTAATATTTTTGCCAACTGTGAACATGGGCAATTAACATTTTTCATACTACTTGTATTATTCTGTGATATCTGATTGGAAAGAAAGTTCTCGGAATTTCATGAACAATTATTACAACCAGAATATCTCAAGCTCATAAGAAGATGACACTCGAATGCTCTGAAATCGTTATAGATTTTGCATATGATCTATCTGATTGGAAAGAAAGTTCTCGGAATTTCTTGAATATCCAGTACAATTTTTTTCCAGAGCATGCTAGAATGTTCTGCGTGTGTTTATAAGTAGGTCGTGTCCTTCGGCATACAACCGTATATTATTACAGCCCTGGTGCTCTCCAGCCATGAACCAGCCCTACCCTCTTACTAAGGAGCAAGTTCGCCTGCTTCTTCTTTATGACTTCCGAATC